ACAGGTTGACAAAATTTATTTTATCAAAAGAAACACTTCCATGTTTTGTAACTTTCCACAGAAATACTAGTATAGGTGTTCACAGTAAGTAAAATTAGTAGTTACACTCCAAACTACTAAGAATATTAAACGCAGTGCAATGCAAACCGCATCTGAAAGGCCTCAATACTCCGAAGTTTCGCTCTGAACTAACAAGCTGGAGCTATTACACGAACTAACACTATATCGCCGGAGCTATTACACTCCGGCAATTTTGCCGGCTCAGTGACAAAATGAGCCTTAAGTCACGTGACGTTAAAACGTTCCGGGCGTAGTTATCTCGCTAAGGAGAAATCGAAGGCAGAGAGGAAGGGAAGGCGGCAATAAAGCCGAAGATCAGAGTGCTCTCTCTCGTATACTATAGTTTTTACCCGGCTGCCGAGCTATTTCTAGAACTTCCTGCTTCTTGAAATTACTGGAAGGCATATGAGGGCCGAATACGGTTACAGTTACACAGTGCATCAGTTACAATGTTCATTACAGTTGCAGAGGGACCGGACCAAAATGTTGCCAAAACCGTTGCCAGCTTGATGATATCACGCCAAATTATCGAGATAGTCATTTACTCAGTGTTAAATAGACTTGGCCCTGTATTCTTAATTTTCCGGCAGATTATCGTTACTCTCAGCTTTTAATGTTACATTATACAGAAAACTACAACAGTTTCACCTATAATTTCACTAAAATTATCTATGTGCAAAATTCGTTACAATATGTTTGGAGACTTACTATTTGCAATTTTCTCCGTTCTTCAACATATTAGATATTTTTGGCAACATTATGAAACTGGTTTGATATTCCAGTATTTCTTCCGGCAAGTCCGAGACATGCTGGATTATCGGATATTTGCTGTGCACACTTAACTATTTCTGCAAAAATTATTACCTACTTACTGTAAGTATTGTGCTGGAATTCCTACCTTTTTCCGGTCAGACTAGTTCCTTATCCTCCTAAATTCCTTCATACCATTTTTATTTTTCCATTACATTTGTTACCTTTGCCATTAATGTAACGGCATTAGATTTCAAACATCAAAACAAAACAATTTATCTCGAAATGGGCGCCGTTCATTTCGTTTGTATTCCTTCAACGAAAAGATCAGAATTGCTATTACTAGATAAATAAATAGCTCATCCCAATGGAGTAAATAAACCTGAAGGACACCATCGACAAATTCTTTAACGTGATTGCCTATTCAAGGTTACCTTGCAACTTTCCTTCAGTGCATGAAGCTAATAATCTGACTTACTCCATTAATGCTTGAAGTGTTCTCCCTTTATTTACTGCGGTTGAACACCTGCGAGCTTTTTCATTCATAGGTATCAGAAGCATTTATACACCGATCCGAATCATAATAATAATAATGGTAACAACAATTAAGAAGCTAAAAAGGCGTGATAAGAAAGCGGAAAAATTAAACAAAAAAGTTATTACGATGGGAAAAGTTTGAGGAAGGTTTGAAGAAAATTTGGTCATGCTCTTGTCAGAAACTTGGTTTGATTAGTTGATTTACATCAGTTACTTATTAAGGCCAAGAAAACAAAATAAAATTAAAAAAGCAATAGTGATTATTTAAGTTTTGCAGTAAGAAGCTAAAGGTCAATTCTTAAATTTTACCATAAGTGTTCAAAACGCAGAAATATTGTTACAAAACGTTTGGTACATTTTTAGTGTCGATGGTTTATGTAATGGATGGATGGATTTTATGTACAGAGACCACTAAAAAAGAATGGCCGAAGTCAAAAAACGAATGACTCAAAAATGCTTAATTGTATTAAAATGATTCTACACGTAAGAAATATCTGCAGTTTTCTTCTTACTCAACACATTTGATATATGTTGCATTAATTTCACCATAGACTTTCAGACTACTCCAAAATAATCGGAATTCTTTTAAAGCAGTTACATTATAAGTAACACTAATATATTTTCCCTTTTAAGAAATCACCGAATTGCTTTTTTATCCAATGATTTTATCCAATGGTGAAATTTTTAGTCACCTAATTGCTTTTATATCCAATGATTTGTTTTTTGAGAACATTCTTTGTTCATGGAAACAGAAATATGCTACAGTTATCAAGATGATTTCTTGAGTAGCATGAATGAGACACAAGCACCATATAATTCTTCCCCAAGAACTATCGACCGGACAAAGTGTATTTTAAAATATGGCACTTTTCAATGTTTTCCTCATTTATAAATGTCTCTGTCGCAGCAGTCCTTATTTGTCATGTCGCCATTTTATAATCTGGAAAACCACCCGTACTCTTGGTGATTTACTTAAAGCATCATCTTTAAAATTTCACTGAAGCATACATAATAATAGTCTCAGCGGCAGTTTATCTCAACCGAAAACAAAATTTTGCATGCATTTTTTATTCTCTGTGGTCGTACATCACAGAAATGTCAGGAAGGCTCGAACATGGAACACGCAGAAATCAGCACCAAGGACGAAACTAAACTGCTTATACTGATGCCACTTAGACGCAGGGAATCTTAAGCTAACAAGGCATAGCATATCCATAATTATGGAGCGTTCATATTTATTGTTACCGTTTTGGTGTATCCGTACGTATATTCGGTATGGTTTCAAGGTATTGAATTAATTTATTTACAGTTGCGATGGCTGTTGCAATTTTTTACAGTAGGTGCTGGAGATGATGGATATTTACATCATACTTAATTATTGTTGGCTTATTCCTACAAGAAAGGTCGAATGGATTAACAAAGCACTTTCTGAAATTGCTGTACCTAGTTGTGCTAAGATCGGTGCTTTCCAGCGAAATAGTATAACTGCATTCGTATACACTTCACTACTGGCTTTTCTATCCACATTTTTAATCCACATCAATCAAAATTTGTACTAATTCATTGTATGCTAGCACCACGAAGGCAGGGAGTAGGGAGAAAATACCTTATAGAATTTTAACATAATATAAATATTCTAAAAATGTTTATTTCTAACAATTAATACATAAAACTTCATTTTGAGTGAAAATGCGTTTTTTGATATTCTTAATTAAGCATAAAAATGTCAAACTATTTTCTTAAAAACTTCATTATTATTCGAATGCTAGCATTGATATTGTTTATTATTATTCCGCCTGCTTCACCTCTCAATGGATACTATAGGTTAGTCGTGTCGTCCTGATCGTTGCACCAGCAACCTTTTTTTGGTTTTTTCCCTTTCAACATTATTATTAATAAACAGATTTAATATTAATGCTTTACTTTTGTTAGGTGCTCCAACTTGAAATGTGTTGGGTATGTTAGTACAAAATTAGCGGGTTAGTTAGTTTAGAGATATTTACGTATATACATGAATGGAGGTTTGCTGCCTTTACATTTCGTCAAGTGCCTAGACCTGGTTATCTGCAATGATTGTGTTTCTCTTAGAATACACGTTCTGTATGATGGTTTTGACGCCCCGCTGTCCAATAGTAGAAAGAGCTCCAGGGATCACAGAGCCTCAAAGACATTCCCCGCTGTAGAAGGTCTTTGAGGCTCTGTGATCCCTGGAGCTGAGAAAGGGAAGTTCTGGTGGGAGAGGTAAGTAGACAGTCGTGGATGTAATGTGAGACGTCTGCTGAAGAAGCTGTAGCACCGTAGACATTTGACATTTTTTTTTTTTTTTTTTTTTAAAGCATACTTCCCGGGCACCACATATGTACAACACAAGGCTTACAGAAGTAAGTTAAGTAAAACATTAAAAGTTACATGCATAAATGAAACGAACAAAAGCAGAGAACAGCAGTTTGGACTTCACGAAAACAGATAAGTTCACTGGCCAAGTCACTCCGAACATTTTCAAATTGTTTTCCAAGCATAATCTAGGGCCATCAAATGTAGGATGAAAAACTCAAATGTTCCACATTCTGAGGTACTCTGTTTGAACATTCACATAAAATGTTTGGTCAGATCAGAACGAAACAGGTAACTTGCAAATTAACGGTGACCAGAAACAAACTGAGAACACTTTAAAATTAATAGAGACGTAAAGACTCGGAATGCAGTCTATGGTAAACAGAAGGAAAAGAACTTTTTGGTGACGTCAGCATTACAAGATGAAATATATTCCTCATTCCACTTAGCTAAAATCTTTTTATAATGAAAGGACTTCCAATAGCTCTTTGGAATGGTAATGTTGATATCAATGGGTAAATTTAAGGCATCTTTAGCTAAGAAAACAGCTTTTTCATTTCCATAGAAACCATGATGAGCACGCACATAAGCAAAGCGGATATCAATTCTTCTAGTTCTAAGTGAACTAACAGTTACTAGGCTTTCGATAACTAATTTGTCGCAGCTGGTAATACAGTTCAAAAGTTGAAGAGAAGAAAGAGAATCAGAACAAATAAGGTACCTTGAGGATGTTGTCCCGTTATGCTTGATCCATTAGACGGCAAGATAAATTTAACGGCATTTGATGTTTTGATTGCAAAACCTGCTGAGGTAGGCGGGAAATCTTCCGTGATTTGACAAAGCTTGTTGTAAATAGAAGTCTGTTTTGAGCCTCTTGGTGGAGATCACAGAAAAGAAGGAGTAGATGTGCCGACTGGTATCTGAGTTTTCCCAGCGCCAGATAGACATGAAAGCACAGAAGATCTTGTGTTTGGTAGCGACTATGAAGGGTGGGATCTCTTAGTCGATGGAAGAGAGAGGCTTGTGGCTTCTTTAGCTAATGAGTCGACCTATCGTTACCTTGAGTGCCTTGATGATTACGTACCCAGCATAGAGACACTTTTCTGGAAGATGGCAGGGTAATAAGCACTTCTTTTAATGATGAGATATGGAAGGCGTTAAACATTGATATATAAAAGTAATTGTCATTGTAGGTTTTAGGACTTTAAAACTACTAAAAGTCTAAAATGCATAATTAATACTGACAATTTTCTTGCAGCCGATTGCTAACAGTATCAAAGTGATTTTATATTTTAAAACATGTTTTTTATTCTTTGCAGGTGAAGCAGGATTCCATGTGGATAATGGAGATGCAACTCATGCGCAAAATGCTAAGGTAATGATATTCTACATAATCTATGGGTTACTGAAATAGTTCTTCTTTTATTTTATAACACTCCAAAATCTATTCATGCCAAACTGCAAAGAGAATGAATTTTATAGTACAGAATATAATAGTTTATCATAAATCGGCTGTAATTAGCACAAATCAAAGAGCGAAAATATATACTCTTAGCGTTTTCAAAACTGACGGTGGCTTAATATGCATGTATTAAATTTCTGTAGCATTTTCCATACAACCTATTTACGATAGTATAACTTTTAAATCACGCGTGCCATTCATAAAACATTTTCCCTGTACATTTAAACAATAGTCAGGTGTGCTGGAATCTGAAGAACGTCATGAAAATGGGTTGGAATTTCATTGCAGTTTGATTCAAATGGATTTATGGAATAGAATGCTGAAGGGGTCTGTAAACGTCTTCAGAGTCAGCGCTAAAAGGGCATTTAACTAAAAAAAATTAAAGTTTATACTGTGGATTTTTAATACAATCACTGAAATGTTTATAATTTATCACTAGATTTTTCAAAACAGTCATTAAGGCTTTACGAATAAATGATTAAAATCGTCTGTAATAGTTTTTATTATAAAATGTAAATTTTCATTTGCTATTAAAATTTTATAAGGCATAATTATGTTTTGTTCTAGTTAGTTGACTTTATGTTTCTATTGATATTTGTAATGTAAAATCACAAGAAAGGCTCTTATCATCATTAAATACAATGCATGGTGAGAGGAAAAAAATGTGGTTCAAAAAGAAATGTTCCAAAAGTCACTTATTTATTTGAAAATGTAATAATTGTCTGCGTTAACTTAGCATTAATAGCCCATGACTCGTAAGTTTCTGACTTCGATATATATTATAAAAGAAAAATCTGACGTAGACACCTCATGACTTCCTTTATGGCCTCTTAAATTATACACATTTTTTGCTGTCCTTGATTTAAACTTATTTCCTCAAATTTCATTAGAAAAATATTTCTCATTCAATCAATTCATTTCTCATTTCGCTGCAGAGAAAAATACGTAAAAACTCAAAGTATCTTCATTAAAAATTGTAAAATATAGAAAAACATAAAAACACCAAAGACAGTTTTTTTTTTTTTTTTTTTAAATTAAAATTAGAATTTCTACGGAAAAACAAGCAATTTGGGCAACGGGCAGAAAGTCAGAATTTTTTATGCACAAAAAGTTAAAATTCACTTTTGGCCCTGCTGGACAAAAAGACACTGAAGTTGTTGCACGAATTGACTTAATTCACTGTTTCAAATGTCAATAAATAGCTGCCACTTTTGAACTATTGACAGTTCTAAAACTACTGCATGCAGATTAACTTAATAACTTACATGATAACATGGTAATTTTAATATTATTGCATGCAGATTAAAGATTGTTTTTATCTTGTCTATGAATTTCATGGAAGAATGAATGGTTACCAGAGCCTCAAGGAAGTTGGACTTCTATATTCACCCCAGTTTTGAGGGAGAGACTGTTGAGGGGGGATCCTGTTATTTTATGTTTGAGTAGTTGAAAACTGATAAACTAATTTGTATGCGATACGATTTATTATTATTATTATTATTATTATTATAAGTATGCTGTTATACAAACGGATGGAAAGGATATTTTAAGTACAATTTTCTTATACAATATCTCAGCATGTATAATGTTCTATAATAATCTATCAGTATAATTTCCCTGTATATACGTAGGAAACTGTCTCAGACCTATCAAACAGGTTTTCCAAACTATAGGGATTTTTTTTTTTTTTTTTTTTTTTTTTTTTTAGTTCCGGCGTCAGAAAATACATTTAATGTTTTGAACTGTTGCCATAATTTCTATATACTATTTAAATTATTTATACTGAAATCGTTTGTAGTTCCCATCAGAAAAGGAGTAATCTTCTCTCTACTGCCAAAATGATGTACTGTTTGTAACAATCATCAGAAATTTTTATCTTCTTTTTGGCAACAGCAATAAAACCAAAATTCAGCATCCAGTTAGCTTCTAAGTTTTTACATTATATAATTACATAAATTCTTGCTTTTTCAGAATCATGCTAATAATCAGAAAATGATTTTCTCATCAGCTTTGCCTTTGTTTGTCTTATAATCTGAGCTGTAAATAGTGAGGATATTTTTTCCTTTTGCCTTCAGGTAAAACAAAAGCATGAAACCAGTGCATCCATATTTTCTTCATACTGTTGTAAAAATTCATCTATAACTGCTACTTTCAAAAGAATGGTGTAAAGATTTTATTTTAATCATAAAAAATGATAGACAAATGAAATGTAATACTTACATTGCAGATTCCGCCCGTTTTAGAGGCTATGTGAGGGCTTATTTAGAACTGAAGAGAGGTTAAAATATAAAAAAACAATAAAAATAAGCAAAATAAAAAAAAATAATAATCTGAAAGGTTTCAGATTTTAAATTACGTCCAAAGGGGCGTTTCTTTTAGCGTTTTGTGTATGACCTTTATTTATTAAATATCAAATTCTTTGTACTCAAACCATAAAAAAAATTAAATTCAACAGCAATATCGCAAAATAATTTTAAAATGAGCTTATCCTTAGAATTTTCGATACACAGTTCCACGCGCTAGAGATAAAAAGGTTTTTTCTCCCCCGTAGAGTGTTGCCATTGCTCGCTTTGAAATCCTTGAGTTTGTTAATCAAAAATTCATTAAAGTTTTACAAAATATGAAATCGATCACAAAACAAATTCAAAATTTCAAATTTGGTGTTCCACATGCCCCTATTCGTAGGAGGATTACGTCATTCAAAATTCGATGGCTCTAGGTACCGTTGTTTTATCACAATGCGTTGTTTTATCACAATATACACACATTTATGCAGATTTTACATTATTTAATTTCTTGAAATATAATGCAGGACTCTAACGTATGGTGGCAACAGTTTGAAAAGTGAAACGTACATTTATAGTAATTCAACGAAAAATCGGAAAACGAAAACAATAGTCCTTCAGGGACAAAGGCCCTTTGGACTAATAGTGTTGTTAAAGTCTGATATTTAATCTGGCCGTTTCTAAGTGTTACTCTATGTGCAGGAAAATGTTCTGAGTGCTTATATTCTTACAAAGTTATGAGCCAATTTCCACTGTACGTTTTATGCTGACCTAAATGTAGAACCATCACAAAATTAAGCGAAACTTTTTCTACCTGTGTTAGAATCCATTTTATCAAACTAAATTATTTACTTTATTCAAACATGTCTGTCCGTTTCTATGAGGGTCCGGAAAGCACGGTCAAAGGTGACTTCCTTTGGAACTCCACCTCTTGCTGCACAACGCCCGTTCGCACACATGAGTGAGAACATTTTTTCTTACTATTATTATTTTTCTATATCTCCCATTCCGTTTCCATAGAGCCAGGGTGTATACATATGAACGTGTTACGCTATTTAGCTGTGTATACGAGCATTTGAACTCATATAGATAACACGCACAGAAGTATACTATTTTTCTATATCTTTCTTTTAAAGCAGTTTCCTAAACTGGGGGTCGCGGAACCTGCAGCAGAGCGTCACCAAAAATTTTAGCAGTTTCGATATTTCTTTAACTTATTATAAATTTAGCTTTAACTTATTATAATTATCTTTAACTTATTATCTTATTATTACCTTTAACTTATTATAATTTTACAATTATCAATTATTTTTACACAATGTATTTGAAAATAGGTAAAAGATAAGGCAATACAGACAAAGAAAAAACGAAAACGTTTCGGCGCATGCTTTTTATAATATGAACGTTCATTTTACTTGCTTTGCACGTGATGCTATCTTTTAGTCTGTACTTATTTAAAATTTTCGCATTGTTCTATGTCTTAAAATTCGAAATTAAAGTTAATGACCTATAACCGCGATAGCATATTACAGTACAAGTGAAAACATTGACGGTTTTACTCGCGTGTGTGTCGAATTCGCGCAATGCTTAAGGGGTCCCACAAAATTTTCTTAAATATTATGGGGTTCTGGGTCGCGAAAAAAATGCCAGTTATAAAAAGGGATCGCAACTGGAAAAAATTTAAGAAGCCCTGTTTTAAAGGATAGGCCTCTCATCTTGGTTTATTGTTGACGCGTAAAATGCAGGATTAAAAAAAAAAAATAGGATTTCCTTGTTATCATTATACAAAAAAAAGTAATATTTATGTAATGATGGGAGAATTTTCTAAGGAAAGTTATAAAGTAAGCTTTTAATTAGGTTATTTAAACTGCAGGTCGCTTTATAAGTGAAGTGGTTATGTCAGTATTCAGTTATAAGGTATTTCTCCCGCCTTCTTATCATGCCTTCGTAGTTGAGTGGTCAGCACGCTGGGCGCGTATCCAGAGGTGTTCATTTCTTATACAGAATTGTAAAAATAGCTTGTCAGGAGCATACTGTTTCTATTTGAGTTCTACTTGAGCTATTCTTACAACTACTATGATGTCTGCCATAACTTTTTTAATAAATTGTTACTTACTTCCTGCTCATCTGGAGTATTTATTTAAAGAGCTATTAACGAAACCATAGCTCGCAGTAGTATGATATTTATAAAGCATACCTTTGCAAGTTTTATCCGCGAAGTAAAACAGCTTTTCATTTTTTAATTCATAATAACGTAATAATTTTTTTTTTTATGGAGATTTTATTCCAAGTGAGCTGCGTAAGATTTCAGATTTTATACTTTACAAAATCCCTTTCATCTGAATGAATCTCATTTTCAAGCTGTAGAGTTCCCCACTTGTAAATGCTACGTTACAGTTGAGCGCGTGAATAATCTTAAGAATTGATAAACGAATAATCGCTTGAGTTCGTGTGACAAGAAACAACAAGATGGAAAGGTAAATAACCCTTTATTATTCAAATAAGATTTAACAGAACTCCGTCTTGGAGTGTACAATAAAAGCCAACACTTGGGCTTGAACTTAAGAGGTAACTAATCTAAACTAAAGAGATATAACCGAAGCTATCAAGATTCTAACCGAGTTGACC